ACTTGAACCTATATGGGATACGATATGCATAGTAAAGACTAACTTTATTTATTCATATTGGATTCAATTTCAAGGGTGATCGCTTAAAAGCCCCCAATATCCAGATATTTTTATACTGTAATATGAATTGTTTAATATACGTAAAATCTTAGAAATATCATCAAGTAGTAAAAGAAAGCACATAATTTTTGGCATAATAAAGCCTAACTTCTTTTAAAGTTTGAATTGAGTTTATGAATTTATGTTAATTTGTGAGTTTTTAACGCCTCAAACCTTAATCCAGTGAAATTTATTGATGACCCTCACTCACAATGATAAAAAATAATTTTATAAATATTCATTGATGAGAGATTTTATGTTGAATTTCCAAATAACTCGAACTTAAATAATTATCGACTAAAGTGAAAGTTATTAACCTAAGAGTCGTTAACATCCCTAGATAGGATGCGGTTAGTAAATATAATATTTTGATGTTAATCCATTTTCGCATTTATATTAAGCACTGTAGATCCGGTTTTTCAGGCCTACATAAATAGCTGAAAAAATGGTTAACGTTCAAGTTTTAACCGACAAAAGCCATGGTCCTTATACATTCTATTGCCCGTTCCAGGGTGTTCTTTATCACTTTTCTTTTTTTCATTATATTTTGTCTTTGCCTTTCGTATTATTTTCCATCTAAATTTGGTGTTTGCGTTCAACCAGTCTCCGAAAAATCCGATTACGCACCACCATTACCTCTTAAGCCAGATGAACAAAAATCAGAAGAGGATGCATCACCATTACTACCCAAGATAAATGAAAAAACAGTAGAAGAATATGTATCACCATTACCACTCAAGGTTGATGATACCTACATTAAACCTCCCTTGGGTGTTAATCGGAACTTGACAGTTTTTATTGGGATTCTAACCGTTGACAAAAAGTTTGAGATAAGAGACCACCTGCGCAAGATGTATAAGCACAATAACGGCGCTCTTGCACGGTATCTTGGAGTCAATGAATCTCCCGTAACGATCAAGTTTTTCACAGGACATCCGAAGGGTAAATACAAAGCCAAGTTAGAGCAAGAATCTAAAAAGCACGGGGATATAGTTATACTTAATATCAAAGAAAATATGAATGGCGGAAAGACCCTCAAGTTTTTTGATTGGTTCGCTGAGAATGTAATCATTCTTGTTACAAGTTTGTCTTATTATGAATGTGTTACAGGTGAATTAACGGTGTTTTTTTTTTTTTTGTTATGTTTAGCGAAATGATGATTACATGTTGAAAGTGGACGATGATAGCTTCGTCCACCTCATTCATTACTATCGCGACATTCAAGATTTGCCGAGAGAGCGCGCATACTATGGCTTTGCATTAAACTTTACTGTACATAATAAAGATCCCGACCTTTTCATGTGGGGTATGTTTCATAATTGTATGATCAGCATTTAAAACGATTAGATATTTTTTTACTGTAATGGGTTTTAATAGGTATGGGATACACGATCTCTCGTGACCTCGTCATGGACATCGTCGGGTCACGCTGGGTTCGTTCACATGCCAAGGGTAATGAAGATAATATGATAGGCCGCTGGATGTGTAAAGTAGCCAGAGAGAACAAATATCTAATACACTATGTAGGTTTCACTCATCGCGGCTGGCCAAATGATCTTTTTCGAAACTTTCGCGAAAATCCCTTCCACGATGTCGGAATTGATTCTAAAAATGCAGATCCCCGCTTCCCCGATGAGTCCATAATACTTCACCGAATGAAGAGTGTCAAAGAATTTAAGGCCATTGAAGATGTGTATTTTTACAATGACGGTTTTCCGAAGATTAGAGTTATTCGAAATTCAACGACTGCAGGTCTGATCACAAAAAAAGAACTTTTTCAAGGATGTTGGATTATGTCCAAGAAAAATCAGACCTGGAAACAAGCTCTCAGTTGGACCCAAGCGCGGGATATATATAAGAATTGGTTCTACGAGGCTTGGGGTTTCAAGGAAGGACGATGGTATGGACATTATGGGCCAAAAGATAAAATAGTATTATCTGATGTTTAAATTCATGAAATAAGTAAATATTCGATCTAGTATAATATATACAGTACCTAATGAATAATTAAAACCAAACCATTTACAAACAGTTTATTTGATATGCGGCTATCGATTTGAAATGTAACACCACACTAACAAACATTTAGATATACAAAATTTATTATGAAAAATAATAAATGCTTAGATATTTTTTTTTTACCGTAAAAAGTGAGATAAGTGTTGAATCAAGATAATTTTTTTTTATTTTACCGTAAAAAGTGAGATAGGTGTTGAGTCAAGATAATTTGCGAATAATTTGTTGGAATGACTTTTATTTAGATTCATTCGAAATATCAAGTTTTTATGCGGACACTAGCACATCACATCTTTTATGACATTTACTGTATGTAGTACTGTACTTGATAAAGAAAAGATCCCGATCCAATTTTCTCTAAGATGGAAGTGAATTAATATATGAAAAAACATTAATTCAAAAAATTTTTTTTTCATATTTGGACGAAAAACTGTACTGGATATTCTCATAATGTTTACTATTAAGGATTAACTACAATCTGTACACTGTATTTGTAACTATAATAATCTTTATAAAAAAAAATTTTTTTAAAGATAACTTCCCGGATGCTGACAGTATCAGCCTATCATTGTAGGCACTGCAATAATCACTCGCAAATTCATTACAGTACTGCATATGGTTTATTATCCACGCATATATGCGGTTCTATGCGACTTCTATTGTAGGAACTTACTTGCGAAGCTTACAACCTATCGTTTTAATTATTACGGTATTAGCAGCATGGTAGAAACATTAAAGGATGACCTACTTTATTACATGTATGGTAAAATAATTTAACTTATTTTCTGATATGAAATCCAACATGCATATAGACAGTTCGGGGCACGATGATGACCTTTTCTCATGTTTGAAGCATTCACGTTCACTTGCTAGTGCTAGTCTCAGTAAGGGTGGTAGCGAGTTTGTTGTCACGCCTTTCACCTTCTGAGTCAACTCTTAGACCTCACATTCTTACCTTCTCGTTTTCTTTGGCTTTTCTGCATCGTTCATTGTGGTGATATTTCGAATGGTAGATCATTCTCGGATTACCTTCTTTAGTAACTTCAGATCTTGCAGTATATGTAATCGCTCTTTCGTTCAAAAAATTCTGTGATATTGATGTTGTTGCTTAAGTATCACGAAATATTCTAGGAAGTTCGGTACAAAGCTTCTGCGATCGTCTTTATCATCTCAAAACAGATTACCTTCCCATTGTTTCCTAATTAAAAACTTTTCATTGATTAATAATTAAGAGAATCACGGGTTTGTCATAGGTTTTCCAATGGTTTTGACAAAACAACAAATTTTTTATGTTTTATTTGTAATAATTAAAAATATTACTTGATACGACCATCACGTAATTTTATCGAGGGTTAGGCAATTTGATCATTTCTTACACTTGCTAATACAGTATTTCCATGGTTCTTTCGTTGGTTACACTTTTAAAGATTAAGGTCTAAATCATAACTAACGTCACAGATTCGTCTTTTTAAAAATCGCTGGACAACTTACTCTTTCTAATGAGCACTATTTTCTTTTATCTTACTTATGCGACGCCCTTACGGCATTGTGCGTCACCCATGCGTCATTATGCGTCACCTGTGCGTCATATATGCAGAAATGGAAATTTCTTTATATTGTACTATAGCCAAAAATTTGCAAAATCGCTGCCGTGAACTGCACGTCTTGATAAAAATTAGAAACAAACACAGTTGTGACAAAAAAAATGCATTTGTAAAAAATTATATTATAAAAAAATATTTTTATTAAATTAATATCAATGTTAATTAAAAATAAATTTATCAATATTTTAAAATTTAATATTAATAGAATTATATATTTGTAACAAATATTTTTTTAATTATACGTGTAATAAAAAAAAAATACATAATTAATTCTGTTTTTTTTTATAAAATTAAAATTTTTTTAATTAATTGTACATTAAATTCAAAATTCAAATAATATGATTTTTTATTTTAATTTAAATTTAATTGATTGTAAATTGATTAAATTATTATTATAAATAATTGAATATTTTATTGAATATTTCTAAATCAAACTATAATTATTCTTAAAATTCATAAAATAATTATTTCTTATACAATTAAAAATTGACTTTTAAAAAAATAGTTAAATATACAAGAAATTTAGAAAACATGTTAAAAAAAAATTTATAAAAAAACAAACATTAAAATATTTATTAAAACTGTTACAAATAATCATATAAATGAATGTTTTTTATATATATTAGTTTAAAAATTATTTTTAAATAATTAACAAAAAAATAATATATTTTAAAAAAAGAATTAATTTATTTATAAAAAAAGAAATTGTAGTTTTATTTAAAAATTAAAATATTTTAATAATTTATATAAATTATATTTTTGCTATTTCATAATTTTTAAGTTACAAATTTTACATTATCTGAATTAATATTAGTTATTATATTTTTTATTTAATTATTTATTTATTTATAGTAAAAAATAATTTTGATATTAATAATATATAAATAATTAATTAATAAATATTATAAATTATAATATAGATTTTTTTTGACTTTAAAATTAATAAAGTTTAAATTGTTTTCATTTTTGTATTTATTTTAAAAATTTTTTCATTTCAATAAATTCTTTTAAATAAGTTAGTATTGAATTTTCATTTTGAATAAATAAGTAAACAATATATAGTCTTTGAAATTAATTTTGTTTATAATTACTTAAAATAATATTAAAAGTTTAAATAATAATTTAATTGTTATTTGAAATTAAAAAAAACTACAAACTAGTTTTTTTTTAATATCTGTTTTAAGTATTTTATTAAAAGAAAATAACCAGTTATAAAAAATAATTTTAATTTGAATAAATATTTTAACAAATTTATTCAAATCAATAATAATATTAATTAGTACTAAATTTAATTAGTTTAAAAGCTATATTTTACTGATTTCTATATTGAAATTAAATAATGTTATATAGTTGTCAAAAAAAAAATTAAATTAATTAATTTATATAAAATTTATAAAATTCAAATTAAATAATTTTATTAATATATTAATTATAATTTTATTTTTAAAGAATCAATTAATTTAATAAATAATTAGATTGTAAAGATTTTGTTTTTTTATTTTTTTTGAAAAACAATAAAAATAATTAATGATTATTTATTTTCAGGAAAAAGTTATAAAATATTTTTTACAAAAATAAATAATTCTTAAAAATATTTATATAATTATTGATTAAGTTGAACTTTTTCTAATTTTCTAATTATTTTACTAATAAAAGTAAAGTTAAAGTAATTTGTTTTTATATTTTAAACAATAGTTTTAATTATCTAGATTTTTTTAAAGCTTTATAATAAAAGCAATAAATGTAAATTATATGTTTTAAAGTTTATTATTATAAAAAAAAAATTTTTAACAAAAATAATTTATAGAAAAGAGTTTTTAATTACAATTATTTATATATATATATATATATATTTTTAAATTAAAAAAATAATTAACTAAATTTTTATTTATAAGAAATTACTTTTTGATAATATTATAAATGTTGTAACTGATATACATTATATTTCTTTTTACTAAAAAGAATCCAATATAGGGCTCAAAAAAAATAGGTTACTTATTTTAATTTTTTTCTAATAACTATCTAAATAGCAATAAAAAGATTATTAAAATTTATTTAATCTTAAGTAGTATCTAGTAAAAAACTAGGGAAATTTATAATATTCAATTATATAAAGATGCTAAAATCAATTATATAGATTTGCTTTCAAATTATAATTGGAATTTGATATGCTTGCTTTTTAAAATTGGCTTGATATATAACAGGTGAAATAGAGAAAAAAAGAGAATTGATTTATTATACATGAAAATATTACAACTATTTTTTACAAATTGGTTTTCAAGTTATATAAAAAGTTTAATATATTCATTTTTCAAGTATGGCAGAAGTGTTTAATAAATAAAGTTATATTAAAATTTTTAAAAATATTATTACCTAATTATATATATGAACCTACATGTATATTGTCAAGAAGTATGCAAAGAACTTTTGTTATCATCATCAGCTTTATTTGTAAGAGTAATTAGAATTCCTTATTATTATATGTTATTCTACTAAATATTATAAATACCAATATAACACTTATAAATTTTACACTAGTATTGACTTTTATTAGAATGGATATTGTAAGGTTACAACTTCTTGAAAGTTCTGATAACAATAGTTATACAATAGCTTTTTAAATATATTTGGTCTAATTATCAAAAAATAAACAATATTAAGTATGGTAATAATAGTTATACCAATCTTTTAAAAAGTAAATTATTTATTTTTTTAAAAAAAAATTATAGAAAAAAAAATTTTCTAAAGTCTACAACTTGAAAAAAGTTATTATTTTTTAATATAGTTCTTGAAAAAAAGGAATCAACTGGTCCAAGAAGTAATAATATAAAAGATATTAGTTTAAAATAAAAGGAGATCTAAAAAAAAAACTTCAAGAAAAAGAAAAAACCCAACTTTGATAAAAAAGAAAAAAAGAATAAGAAAAAAAAAAAGTATTAAAAAAAAAGTTTATAAAAAGAAAAGTAAAAATAAATAAAAAATAAAATAAAAAATAAAAGAAAAATGATAAGATAAAAAAAGAAAACAATTTGAAAATTTTTAAAAAAGAAATTTTCAAGTACAGATAAAAGAAGTGAAAAAAGTTTTTTGTCTATATAATTATATATATATATACTGTATATAGGATTTTGAAAAGGTATTGAACTGGTATTGAACTGGTATCAAAATGGTACTGATATATAGTAAATTTAATATATGGATTGTGACCTACTCATATGTTTTTATAGTAAATTTAAGTATCGAACTAATATTGAAGTGATATTGAAATGGTATTATTAGGAGCCCTAACTATATATATTTTAATGAATTAGAGACATTAAATATAAGAT